GCATATACATGAATTTGTGGCCAGCTGCTATAGCTCTGGCCATACAAATTGGATGCATGCGTCGGCACATTGAGTAGCAATAAAATTGTAATTTCCATTTCTAATATATGTACATTCACGCATACAAAGGAAAAAAGAAAACCCATATTATATAGAGATACAGATTTATATAAGCTTTGCTTGGCAATTGAGTTGCTAAAGAGCTGTTTAGAGCTGGAGACAATGCAACATATTGTTTTAGTTTTGTTGTTGTTGTTCATATTTCTGGTTTCACATCTCTTATACAACAACAATGCGTCGAACCGAACAAAAGGCCTAATTGAAGGTAATTTAAATTGATTAGCCTAAACGTAAACCCACCACATCTCACAACAACGGCAGAAAAACTTGTCCTAGGTTGGGCTACGAATCCATTTTTCGAGTGTTGACTGCCAACTGTTAGTTGCGGAGGTGTAGCTGCTGCAGTTTATTTTTCGAGCTGCTATTTCAATTGGCATTGTCAAAAAAGCAAAAAAAGAAAAAAATAAAATGTATGTGGAAAATAAGTCGTGTGGGTCGCTTGTTATATGGGTGGCAATATGGTTGAATATGGTAGCGTGTTTTGAGGTGTTTATGCTTTAATTAAGCATGATGAAAAAAAAAGCAGCAAACCACAACAGAAACCAAAATGAAAGGCACTCAGGTCGAACAATGCCACAGAAGCAGTGTCAAAACAAAAGACTTAAGACACAAACTTGACTCGAACTCTGGTTAATTAGGAACATGGTTGTAATTAAGTTTCGATGCAAGATTGAAACAACTCGTGTGCAAAGAAAATACTGAAGCCTTGAAGCCAGTCTACAAACAGCTTAGTCCCTGATGTCATCCGTAACCATTTTCTCATTTTTTTCAGTTTTATTTTTGGATATATATATCCTGTCTGAAACTGACAATTAATGCGCGAACCGAACCCAAAAGCTAGCTTTAAAAATATATTTCAACTCTTGCGAATGCAAACAAATTGACGTCTGCCAAAGTTCAGTGGAATTTCGTTTTTCTATGCAAAGCGCAGCTAGCTCATGATTTATACAGAATTTGTTTTTTTTTCGGGTTTTTGCTGTGCGAGAAATAGCAATGTGCAGACCATAAAAGGCGAAGCTAATAATTATAACTTTGAAACGTTTGAATATGTCGGATTTTTTCGATGTGTTTTATCTGCACTTTTTTCTTATTTTTTTTTCATTCGACTTTGCGCTAATTTTCTAAAGCATTGTCAAACAATGCAAAATCAAGAGGAAAAAAAAGAAAAGATTTCGCGAGATATCGAATTAAGCGTGAGTGCAAAATGCAAATGCTGTGCTTGGGCGTGGTGTCAAAAACACCATTAAATTATTGATTAAACAAAACAAAATGTTATTTATTTGGTCAGCAATCACATTAGACCTTTTTTGTGCTCCGAAAACCCAAGCGATTCGATATGACAGAATATTAATAGAGACTTGATTGGTAATCGAATGGCAGATACTCTGTTAATTATGATTATATATAACATTTTTGGAATATGATTTCTATATAAATTTACTTATACTTATATTTATTCTTTAGCTAAAATAGGTAAATACACTATCAATTAGAATCGGGTGGAGTCTCTTTATAAAGCATAGTATATGAATAACAGCTAGATAAATATAAAAGCGAGACACACTTTAAACAAAATTCGAATTAATAATTAGAAAGAACTTTTCGTCCGAGCACCAAAAGTTATTGATAATAATTCTCCTTTATTATAAACTTGTTTCATATAAGCTTATCAAAGATATTTGAGAATATACTTGTATGTCTTTGATAAGCATAACAATATATATAAATAGAATTTCAAAGCACCTAAAAAACACTAAAATACTCTTAAAGTTTGTTTCGTCAATCCATTTGCATGTAAAAAAAATAAAATAAAATAAAATGTTCTAAAACATACACGTTTCTATTTAAGAATCTTAAGTATTATTAGAACACCTGATAGAGCCTTATTAATTAATATAATATTTCCATTTAAAACTAAAAAATAACAAACAAGTTTTATAAATTAGTATAATTAATAATTTAAAATAATGAAATTTTGCAAATATCCACTCATTATATATTTTACTTTCATCATCTAATAATAATAAAAAATGAATACAGAAGGTGTATATTTTTTATTTTTTTTTTTTTTTAAATTTTTATTTTTATATTTATATAAATATTTATATATTTTGATGTTGATATATGTACATTTTACTTGTATTAATTTATTAATCTACATATATTATAAAATATGAATTTTAAAAATCATATAAATAATATATATTTTATTTTAAATATATATATCTCTCTCCTCTTCAAGACCTTTACCTCTCAATAGATCAAGAATTCATTGTTGCAACTTGTTAAAAATATAGCACGTGCTGCTCAAAAATTGCTTTTAGTGATTGCAGTGTTGAAATGTGCTTAATGTCACCAGAGAACCCTCAGACAAACAGATAGACAGACAGCCAGACAGCTCTGTGCCTGACATTCAAGCAGCTGATAAATTGACAAAAAATAAAAAAGGCGCGTGGCAATAAAAGTTATCGTAGGCTATGACGCGGCACAAGGTAATGCAATATGGCTAGAGACTTTGCAGCGAATTGCGACTTGAACTAGAATTCCGCACCCAGTTTTTTTTCTTGCTTTGTGATATCTTTGGAGGTGACAATTGGGGCCAACACCTTTTGCCAATGGTAATTTGCGCTAATGTACGCCACAAAGTTCTTTATGTGACATAGCGCTTGAACTCCAAGCTGTATCAGGGGCATAAGACGTAAAGTCATAAATATGAGAGATTTTGTTAGTGGCGCAAGTCAATCGAGAACTGATTTTGGATTACCCCATCAGCTGCTCTGCTAAATATTTATCCATAGTATATCCATATTTATGGCTGGCAAAAGCAACTACAACTATTTGCATATGGCAAACGGATGACTAATTTCCAGCGTCTGGGCAAAATGTGAACTCATGCGCGAGCTAGAATCATTGAACTTTAATTGTAAGCAAAAGATTTTATTTTGCTTCTTATGATTCATGGCGAATGGAGCAAATATCTATATATATAAAGATATGTGTGTGTGTGTAGTTGCTCAAGTTTTCTGCCTAAGTCTTTTGTTTTAGCATTGCGCAAAAATGAAAAACGAAATAAGAAATGCTGAAAATTACAATTCACGCTGCCTGAGAAAAATCTTTAGCTAATGAACGTCGAGTGGGTAAGAAGTAAAAATGTAAATGTTGTGTAATACTTAGCTGCCGGAAGTAATGAACATATGAACAGAGTATGTGAACATTAAGAGGATAAACGTAATTATGAAAAGACAAAAATTTAAGAGTGGACTGAGTTTTAAATTTGATTGTGGAAAAACAAATTCAAAATAATTCTGTTGCTGCTCTGGGCGGTGAATTTAATATGCGAGGGTAGCCAGATAAATAATGAAGAGCAATTATTCTTTAGCAAGATAATATGTCTCGCTCTCTCACGCATCGACTCAACTCAAGAGAGTATTTGAGCACTGAATAAATTGAATTAATAGATAAGAAAATATATAATACATTTTTTATATATTTTAGTTCTGTTCCGAATACTCAAAAAAAAAATGCCTGAAGAAGTTTCTTAACAGTTCGCCTTATAGATATCAACTTCTGCGTAGTGAAAATGCGCTGAAAATTAGTTCACGCAAATTCTAATTTAATGATTGAAAATTTCAGTGTTAAAATTAACTTCAATCAAATGTAAATTTCTAAAAATAAATATTTTGCCAAAGCCAACTTTAATGTCTCAATTATAATTGGACGGAGCAAAATATATTTGGCGAACCAGCTTACTTATTTATTATGCACATATATCAAATATATATGTGAGTTTATATGTAAAAAAAATTGATTGCCTTTTGTGCTGGCAATGGACAATACGGTAAATATATATGTATGTATATATCTATATGTATATAAATCAAAAGACGAATTGCACGTACCTGCAGAGCGATAGTCAGACGTTGATAGCGCTTTTTAGCATGTGCCTTACACTCGAGCCGTGTGTTCACTGAAGGCGTTTAAGGCTTATGCTTAAGCGCTTTGTATTTGTTGTTGGCTCAAACTCCGGACAGCCGCGACAACAACAACATAGCCAAATGCACTGGCGATTGGCATCAATGTCGCTTGGTCGCTTTTTAAGCTGCGATATATTTATATATATTTTTCGATTTTTTTTATTTTTCTTATTACGTTTTTTTCACACACACACACACGCACACAAACATACAGTCAAAACAGAAAACGCGTGGTATAGAAAAAATATATACAAAAGCGCGTAGTCAGCAAAGTATTGGCATAATTATTTATTGAATATATACAAACATATACATATAAATATATAAATCTATAATAAATATATATATTTTATGTATGAAAAATACAAAAATTAATTTTCAATGATTTTCGATGTTTGAGCAAGTGGGCGAAGCGCAGCCAACGAAACTGAAAATATATGTATGTATGATATATATGTAAACAGCTGTTGCTCGTGGGCAATTTGGAAGCTGAAGCTGAAAACTTCTTAGCGGCTGCACTTGACAAGCGCCAAAAAAATAAGAAATAAAAGCGCCATGCAAAACTCAGCTCAGGAAACCTTTCCCTTTTTTGAATGCTTTGCGCTAGGCCAACTTGTCGCGTCTCGTCTTTCACTTTCTTTACAATTGTGAATTTAACTTTTGCTGCTTAGTCTTTGTGACTAAATATACATGTATTTGTATATAGGTATATATCTAAAGTAAAAACGCGGCACTTGGCTTCGCTTATTTTGCGTTTCACACTGAACGCTTGGCTACACTTCAATTCACGTTGAGTTCAACTAGGCTACTGGGAACTGACATCAGCCGGAGCTTGGGCTCTCGGTGCAACTGTTAAATGTTTATTTATTTGTATATTTGCATTGTTTTCTTTACATTATTTATTACGTTTGTTGTTTGTTTGGAATATGTTCTTGTTCACTAGTTCAACGCCTGCGCTAAATGTGCTTATATCGTATGTATATTAATTGCTCGGAACTCGAACTCGAACTCGTTTTTGGTTGTATTTTATTTTTTATTTTTTTGTTTTTCTTATATTTTGTTGTTGCTTTAGCTTGCCAAGTACTTTGTGTATCTTGTGCTCAACCGAACCGTCTGTCTCGCACGCCAACGCTATACTAAAAGAGTTTTCAGCTTGGCCCGCACGTTAAATAAGCCGCCGTCAGACAGCTGGCCTGACTACTAACTTGGCCCGCAGCCTGAGCGCTGCCTTCTAGCCATTGGATGATGTCAGCTTTTTTGCCAACAGAGAGCGGCCAGAGAGTGCGAGTGCGAGAGTGTGACTATCAAAGAGCAGCGAATGCTGTTTAAAGAGCAACTTGTTCACTCTACTCTTTGCTTGGCTTGGCTTAATATTTTCTCGTATTGATCTGCACCCACTGTGCTGCAAATGACACCAGATAACTAATTGCTTATTACAATCTATATCTGTATATAAATATATATGTGTATAAATATATATATATATATATATTATATACACAAAGTAACAAAAGCTTTGTAATAAAAGTTGATTTATTGTTGGCATCCCTAAAAAGGAGCGAGCAATTCCAAGTAATTCCAATGAAGTCATGTGTTCTTATAGAGAACTAGCAACAACTATCCACCTCATATAAAGTGATTTGTGAAAGGAGCTTCGAAAGGTGCGCTTTAATTATATTTATATATATACATTTATATTGATAATAAGTTAAATGTAATAAAATTAATAACCAAAACAAAATATTGTTTCTTAAGTTTTTTTTTGCTATTCATACATATTAAATATATGTGTATTGTATATATATGTATTTCTTTCCTTCCTAAAGATCTATATATATATATTTTATGCTTCTGTTTTTTTTTTTGTTTTCAATTTAAATTTGTAATAATTTCTTTATTATTTTTTTGTTATATAAAGTTTCAGTGTATTTAATTTTTTTTAGTTTCCTATTAAAAATAAAAATTTTATCACCTTTTTTTATATATGATATTAAGATTAACGCGTGACTTTTTTGAGCATTCACATATGTATATGTAATTGCATATATAATTCAAAAAGTTTTAAGGCCTTTCATAGCATAACTCGACAACTCTGGTTTTCGCTCTTAAGAGCTGTGCTCTCTGTGCTCTTGCCCGGCATTTTTTTTCTTTCTATATGCCGAGCTCTCACACAAACCGGCATTTGAGACCGGCATGCGCGCGTATATAAACAACGTAACATTCCATATCGTAACGTAACGTAACATGACGTAAGGCAATATAAACGTTAACATATGGCTCAGCCAAGCTAAAGCTCTAAATTATTTTTATATTCATGTCGTATACAATGCCATTGAACTAAAAGTTATATATAATATATGTATAAGCAAAATAAAAATTTGGCTAATCGTAAAAAATTATGCCTTTTAGAGTTGAGTATCTGTAAATAATAAAAAACAGCAGGTGTCTGGCGTTTGTTTTTGATCGTCTGATATAATAATAATGCGTCAGCAAATTTCTTAATTAATTTTTACATCTTTTGGCCATAAGTGAAATTTGATGGCGTAACCATTGCCAATCGACTCCATTGACGCTACAGAATTAAGCCATTAATTAGAACATACACTAGAAAACTTGAAAATGAAAACAAAAACAAATCAAAATATTCGATTCGCCCCAATGCTGCACGTAGGCCGCGCTCCAATGCAGTTTACAATTCGCCTCTAGTCTAGACTGGGGAGACTGGGCTACCTACTCGCTGGCAGAGTAGGCAGGTAGGCAGCCTAGCCAGGTAGTTAGGTATATAAGTACATACATCCATCCCCCTTGCCTCCCCAGCGAGCATTTACTCACACTTAATACACACGCACCGGCAACAACAAAATGCATGTCAAGTTCATGCCAAGTAACGCTCGGCGTCTCAATAGGTGGAAGGTCTATTGCGGCACTCGGGCGTGAAGATCGAACTGAGAACAGATACAAATGGCCCTTTTCGCATTTATCTACTATATATCTATAAAGGCAATTGCCATTGCATTCGTATTTATTGTATCTGTGTAGTTATGGTCGTTACGCTAACAGCAGGGCCATCACGAACGAGGGCTGTTACAGCAATTAGTTAAGAGTAAAGTTTGAAAAATTAAAAAGTATTTATTTATATAGAGTAAAGTAAGTATAGTATAGTATAGTATAGCTTTGATATATGAACTGGAACGGAAAATCAAGTTTTAAGGGATAAATAAGCCAAATAGCTGTACCCATTAGAAAGTGATAGATAATGATATTTTAGGAATATCAAATAACAATAGAGTTGAGTGCTTAGTGAGTGCATTGTGGAAGCCATTGTCTAGAATTCACATGTGCTGTAGATAATCAGAAAAAATAAATTTCAGTAAAAGTAATTTGATGTTGACTCTGCGTGTACTTAGACTAACAATGTCAAGCTAGGCAGTTGTTTATATTTTCAGTAGGGGAAGGTTAAAAAAGTGGACAATAAGTCCGAAAGCATAGACAGAAAATATTTGAATTGATTTACAAGTAATCAACTAAATTGTGAGTATAACAAAAAATTACTGAACGGGCAAAAAAACCGATAAAAAATTGAAAATATAATTAATGTATACAAAAAAGCCTACCAGGTTCATAAAGAATATATTATAAATATTTTAAATACTTGATGAAAAAATAAAAATTATTTAAACCATATTTTAATATTATTATGATATCAGAGCTATGGTGCTACAGCAGTCGATGCTGCACTTAGATGGATCAGCTACAGCTCCGGGTAGCAATGTTTTTAAAAAAGACACACAGCGATCATTAAAAAGTTGCGAAAGAGCGAATTTTTCGAGCTTCAAGGAAATTTGTTGTTGAGCGGCTTTCGTGAACAGCGAAGCCAATAGAAGTACTCTTCCATTCCTCTGAAGACCTTATATTCTTGTATCTCGATCGTTTTGGAAATTATCGTATATTTTAAGGTCATTGTTGAGCAATAGTATCGAATTATTATTGTTGAATATTTAATTAGTTTGATATAATTAATTCTGATTCTGGGTAAAATTAAACCTGCATTTCATCTCTTTTGTTACTTGGAATAGTTCTGATTATTCACGTCCGACCCTCGCTCTTTATGGCTGTTATAGCTCTTGGGTTGGCCCTGTCAATATCGGTGAGCCTGCGGATTGGCTTTCGCTACACGCGCCACTTGACCCTTTGGGGCTGTGGGTTCAAAACGTGTCGCTAGCGGTGGCTGTTTCGTATTGGCTCTGTTGCCAATTGGCGTCTGAGGAGGGGCGGGGTATACGTATTTGGTTACGGTTTTGGTTATTGAAACAGCAGCGCCAACCATTCAAGCATGGCTAAAATAAAAATGTTGTCACGCCGTTTGGAAATACTCGCAATTGTTTTTTTTTTTTCGGGCTACAAATTTTTTAACAAATCGCATTTGAAAGTTGTGCCCCTCTCTCGTTGCAAAGTTTTGTGTTCCTTTTTTCCTCTGTCATTTCCTCGTTTCATTTGTTGGCCGAGTGTGAGGGCAACAAATTGCGGCCAACTTCTGTTTTTCAATTTTTGTTGGCCAAATGATTTCGTTTTAGTGTCTTTTGTTTATCGATATGGAATTGTGTCCTTTTTATACCCTGAACCCATTTTCAATGGGAAATCAGGGTATAATGGTTTTGTTGAAATGTATGTAACAGGGAGAAGGAGGCGTGGCAGACCCCACAAAGTATATATATTCTTGATCAGGGTGACGAGCTGAGTTGATTTGGCCCTGTCCGTCTGTCTGTCCGTCTGTCCGTATGTATGAACGCGTCGATTTCAGAAGATATAAGAGCTAGAGACTTCAAATTTTTTTTAAAATGTCCGTAATTACAGCGCGCATATCAAGTTTATCATTAAAAATCGATAACTCATCTCGATCTTTTTTTATCGATAAAAAACCTTATCGAAACCCAGTTATAAAATTATATCTTCTACACCTTTATTGCTAGAGTCTCCAAATTTTTAATGTATGCTTATATGCAATTTATACAATTTCGATTTTTGTTAAAATTTACCCCCCCACCTCTAAATTCACCCCCTCACCCTCACTTTTGTAATAAGCGTATTTCAAATACTAGAGACTTGTGCTTTGGCAATTACATGCATATTCATGTTATAATTATAATCTGAAAGTTTCATGAAGATCGTACGTCCATAAAAAAAGTTATTAAACAATTAAGTTCTCATAGTAAGCGCACACTGCAGCCCATGCGTGTTTATGCGTGGTTGCTTGTGTGTGTATGTGTTTGTGTATGTGTGTGTGTATGTCTGTGTATGCGTTTGTGTATTTATGCGTGTGTGTGTGTATGTGTGTCTGTATGCGTGTGTATGCCTGTGTGTGCGTACGTGCGTGTGTGTGTGTGTGTGTGCGTGTTTCTTGTGTAAACTGAAAGTCGCGAAAAATTATTGAAATATCTATTGCTCCAAGGGTTCAGGGGATCTCGTAGTCGAGCAGTCTCGACTAGAGCTTTCTTACTTGTTTGCCACACAATTGTCGCTAATGGATAATGCATTGAACTCGAATTTGGGCTTTATGTGGGTGGCTAAATTTGCATAAATGCTTGAGCTAATAAATTGCAAATAAGTCTTAAATTTCAATTTGTTATAATTAAGAAAATTTCTGTTAACAATAAATATTTTATTTACGGGTAATTTTTCAATTATTGTTAATTATTTATTAATTTATTATTTGATTTTTGTTTTAACTTTTGCATTAACTTGTTTTAAGTCTCAAATATTTTAAGTTATTTATAAATACATTTTTAATACATTTTTGTTATAAATTGCTTATACTAGACGTCATAAAAAAGTTGATGTTTAGATTTTTGAACAGTTTCTTCATTAGAAATATTTATATTAAAAATAATTGTTATTAAAATAATTGTTATTAATTATTTTATCGAAATGAAATTTTTTAACTGAATATTTTAGTATTATTTTGTTACATATATAAATATACTATTTTTTTTTATTAATATATGTAAATTTAAAGTAATACGAAAATTCATGCCAAATGTTAGTTGTCAGGAAAATCTAGCGCTAAAAACTCAATTAAAAATATGTATTAGGCCATCAAATGTAAATTTTATTTTAGACTTTTTAAGAAGCTCTAACTAAATTTAAAATTT